ACGAAGCAGTCTAATGAGCTGCGCATGCGCAACTTTCAATATTTGCGATGGGGATTTTCGGGGTATTTTGACTTCACTTCGCTGGACCCACATCACGTGAAGTGAATTGTTATTGATGAGACATACATTAGCGCTCGTGAATCGTTTGCTTCCGCGGAATCGAAACGTGTGGCAATATTTTTGGCGATCCGATCGGTTATTGAATTGGTATACTTACAGCACGGTAGGACGGCCATTTTTGCTGGCTTTCTTATGGCTTTTTGTGCCTCGAGTCAGTTGACAGAGCTGAAAAGAGAACAACAGGGAACAGTTAGGAAGAGTTTTTTGCTGATCATTTTTTTGGGGTCAATATGGTGTGGAAATCCCTGGCGGTTTTACCAAAAAAAATAATCATTACAACATTGAGAAGTTTTAAGTGGCCCAATCATGGCCAGCTTGTTTCTTTCATTTTGCTTCATGGCAGGAGTGCCAAACGTGTCTATCAAGTTTTTAATGCGAATTAGCCAATAGCTCTTGACAAATTGATAATCTCAGATACATGTACATGTGTTGCGTCCACTTCAAACAGTACGCCTGCCCCCGCCCTGACAGAGTCGCTCGCTATTCGTATCACTGGAGAGTGCAGTGCTGGACGCTTATCGAACACTTGTCAAATTTTATAAGCACGTCTCGGTTGCCTCGGCTGCCTCTTGCTGCACGCACGTGAGAGCTGCATTTCGGTTGAATTGAGCTATGAACTGAAAAATAAGTGCATAAATAAAACGCGAGCGAGAGCTGCCCATCAATGGCATTGTTCGAATCGGGGCATTGTTTGCCGGAATCGAATCGGAATTCAGTGACCAATTCGTAAGGTAATTGCATCGCAACATGCCACATTCATTCCAATCGTTCTGTTCTAACAAAACTGAACTTTTCGGCAGATGCAATCGAAATAGTTTTCGACTTAATAAGCCCGCCCCTTGTCATAGCAATTCAACCATTTACACAGCTGCCCTTCACTTCACTTTATTCCGCACAAAGGAAACGTTTGCGCGAAAGCTCTACAATACTGTACATAACATGTGCATTTACACGTACATACTCACTCGCATGTACATACATATATCTGTATGCATATAGGGCCCTGCATTATAAAAGAGTTTCAATTAAAGTCTCGCACAGTTGTTGACTTGCGGAGAAAACGTAATTATCGCCTGCTGATATGGCACAGATATTTCGACACAACTCATTTGGGTCCAAAATTAGGGAATTTCCCAACTGGGTTAGCACACACTCCTCATACTCATACTCATACTCCCATACCCCAACCCAATCCTCATCTGCCATTACGAATGTGTGTTGCCAATAATTAGCCAACTGTTCCTTTAAATCAACAAACGTCAATATTAATTTAATTGTTTTTAGCAATACCAAGACGAGCACCATAAATATTCTCGCAGAACTCTTTATGTTCGTCGCGATAAGCAATCGAAACGGACCCAAACAATTCTCTATTCTCAATTGAACTCTGGAAATTCAAACAAGCGCCATCTAATCACAATCAAAAGTACCATCTCATCGGTACTTAAACAGCAGCTGATTCTGAAAGGGGACCTACCAGTATTATTTTTTATTGATTGAAAATCCTATATACTCGTAATAGGCGCTACAGCTACTGGGGTCGCAATGATTTTTGCATGTGCTTGCGTGACATGGATGTGAATGGATAATTTTCGGAAAACTAATATGGCATAACAGTGACCACAAGATCAGTGATAGTCGTACTTGTCGTATTGACTGGACTGCCGATACGTGCACTGAAAGCCACGACACTTTCATTGAAATCCAAGACAGATCAAGGAACGCAGCCAGCTAACGACCTTCGATATTGACTTTAGCCGAATGTTTGCATGAGAAAGTAATTTACTCAGGGTATAATTAGTGTGCTCATTACAGTTGTGGGCAATCTGGTTCTCGGTTGCCCCCGAAAGGGTTATACAAGTGCTAAGAGCCGAAACGAATCATCATCACAACATCTCCACAAAATACTCAGTCAGTTACTCGTACGAGTACCAGTATGTAGGTGTTTTGCCAGCCTCTTCTGTCTAATCAGGAACGCGTCGTCTTATCATCATCATGCATTGCCCTTCCCGCCAATGAATGGCTTTATGAAAGCAGCTCGACAATTTATGGGCCATAAAGAGTGAATTATAAAAGGATGGAAGTGTGTGGATTTATGTGGATGTGGCCATGCGATAAAAAGTAGTATTGTAAACGCGATCATTAGAGTCAGGTTAAATCGTCAATTAGCCGTAATCAGTGTGGACTCTATCGTTACTGGACCTTAGGCCATATCGATGGGTACGATAAATGAATTGATTTACCGTACAATACATCCAATCGAAGACCCATAATGCTTTACGATCAGTTATATTATGCAGAGGATCGAAATATAGGTGAACCAAAGTTCGTCTGTATATTCATAGCACGCGTGCTATTTACATAAGAGCTGAGCTAGTGGTGGTTTGCTCATCCACTTGACATGGTTTGGTGGTTTACGAGCACGCGTATCCCCTCCTCCTCCTCCTCCTCCTCTACCTCGGTTCCTACTCGCGTCTTTCTTTCGATCCTCGGTTGTGTTGGGTGGCGGTGAGTGGGTTTCTGTTCTGTTCTGTTTTGTTTTGCTTTTTTTTGCATAGAATTCTGCATGAGAATTCAACGACGGAATTGAACCGTAACTGGCAAACAAATCGAAATATGTAATGAACCTAGTAAAATAGCAGTTATTGTTGTAGATTGGATCATTGTTGTTGTGGAATTTCGGTTCTCAGAGCCGAAGCTCTAATTCGCATTCAATTCGTATTATTTACGATTTTGCATTTTTGCACGTGGTAATTAAAAGTACGATTACTCAATTACGTAGCTCTCAAAAAACGTGAAATATTATTATGTGCCAGGACTGCAAATATTTTTCGATTGATTTAGCGTATTCTCAATAATGCTAAATCAATGTCACTTTTTCGACAAATTGCACGCGCATGCCAGTCAATAACATTAAACACTTATTAAATATCGCTGGAGAGGGGACTGTGGGTGTTATAACTTGGAAAAGAGCAGCAAATTTGTCAAGCAAGCGTCCAACGTTCGTATCGAATGACTAAAAATAAAAGTAAATTTGACTCTAACTTGCACAATATATGTACGTAACCTAGATACTTCTGCAGATCCTCCTTTAATTATGTGTTATCACAACGATGTTGCGGCTTGTTGTCAAGGCAGGAAAGATCACTTGTCCGAAGGCGAATTGAATTTGTTGGGAATGGTGGTCGCGGTTCAATGAATGGCACCACAATAACAAAACCAGTTATTATTTAAAATGCAAATTATATAAAAATAGCCAAGCCAAAAATAGGCTCCACTGTACAGTGGGGCTAGGCACGCACGCACAATAACAGACAGACAAAAATAGACCGAAGAGGGCACGTCTCGTTTCCAGTGGCAGGTTCAGGTTTGCTACTGCCGACTACTGTCCGTGGTGTCCTCCTCCCAGAGCCCGGCACTCCATGCATAACTGATTTATGCACATACAATGTGAGTACTGTTTGTAACCGACTGTTGACTGTTTATTTTTTTTTCTCTCTTGAAATTTCTCCAAAAATCTGTAATGAAGTGCCACACCACACAACACAACACACAACACACGACACGCGATCATCAGCACACATCGCGGCACTCTATATGTGTCTGATTAAGTTTTTGTTTTGTATTTCTTCGTGGCACAATTTTGCTACCAGATTTCGCATGAAATTTTTCCATGACGACCCCCCAAATACTGGGCAGCCGCAGCCAGCCCCACAGATGGAAGAGTGTCCAAAGATTGGGGTGCTGCCAATGTAGTAGCTAAACTGGACTTTCTTGTTGAAGTCCATTACCTTCCTGCATCAAACTCACATTGTACGGACCTCCTTGAGACGACGCGACTTCCAACGATTCAAACTGCTGTAACGCCGCCAGCTGAGAACGCCGCGGAGCTAATGAAACTGAATTGCCAACTGCCATTGGCATATATACTTGGTCAACTCAGCCAGCCAGCCAACCAGCCAACCAGCCCGCTGTCACACTCGCAGTCGCAGTCTCAGCAGCGCCAGTGGTAGTAGCAGTAGCAGAGCAGCGCAAAAAAAAAAACGGTTAAAAACGGTTTAAATTGTTGTTGAGAGCGAGTAGCGAGAGCTAAAATATATGAAAAAATTGCTAACAAAAAAATCACCAAATCGTGCTAAGTTGTAAATCAATGAACATGATGACTAACAGTTATTCCTACAATTTCACTCCACCAATACATCAATACATTTGTCAAAATTTAAGAGTAGGCGCTAGAATGATTTGTTTGCATACAAAATTATGATGCAGTTGATCTTTGCGAAAAATCTGTCGACCAAAACGCTCTAAGGCCCAATAAAATTTTGTAAAATACTTTTATAACACACGTGCCGTGCCGTGGCTTTGCTTTGTTGTGAAAATTCAGCAAACCGCTCATTTGTTAAATATTTTGTTTAATTAGCGCACTTGACAAATGCCAGCAAAAAGCCAGAGAAGCGCAGAGAAATAACTTTATTGGCACGAATTTATTTTTTAGATATTCGCCGCTACACCATAAGAATTCACAATTTTATAACTTTTTGTCTAAGCCGCAGAGGAGGCTTCGTTCTGAGAAAATCTTTCGTTTTTCACGGACATTAAGCTTTATTGCGATCTTTAGCTTCCTAGCCGCCTATCTCACGGTGTGTGTGTGCGCCATAAAATGAACATTATCTCCTAGCCTTATCCAAATGAAATGTCTTGTATCATCCAGTGCTGTGTGTGTTGCCAGCTCCATAAAAGTCAATTGATGCATTTAGCTGCTGGTTTCAGATAAGCGACAATGATGAGTACTGATAAGATCTGTTCATTTTCCGACTCTTATCAAAATTGTCTGGCATAGTTAAGTTTACGGAACGCAAGGGGTTAAGCTTTCCTATTGAATTCAATGTTTATTTATTCTTATCATATAAATATATCTTGGCATTACTTAAAACATATTAATTAACAATTTCAGAAAGTTGTTAAGCAGAATTTACATTACACTTTAGCTTGACAAACGATTAACGACTTTTGGCTGATAAATTTAGATTTCAAACTTTAAACAGATTTAACAAATAAATGTAATTAAACTATGTGGGTCTCAGGCCATGTTAACGTAAAGCATGCGATGCGCACAAACTTTTCCCACCAGCTCGCTGTACTCAATAATCTCGACGCGATCGCTATCAGTGCCGGTTATCTGTTAAGAAGATTAAAGGAAATCGTGAGTTAACAAGAACCTTGTAGAGGATTTACAGCGAAAAGAGAATTACCTGCACATAATTCTTATACTGCATGCATGTATTGGCATCCAGCAGAAGCATCACTTCATCCAAATGCTCAACTAAGAATTCGTTCACATCTCTAGCAGCTGCATCTTCATTTAGGCGCTGATACTTGTTTGTATCTAGCTTAGAGCGAATGACTAAATGAAATTGGCGTTAGTTATCAACATCGAGAGGAAGGATAGCATGACACCTACCGTCGGTGAGCAGTATCCAGGCGTAAGTCTCTGGGCACAGCAAATATGAGGCAGACAGCTTTCCTTTGTAGCGCATCTTCGGACAGGAGTGTATGTAGAAGCCCATATAGTAATATTTCAAAGCAGGCGTAGTGGCGGCAATCGTCTGCACGAAATCTATTTCCCTGCAACAGCAACCAAAAGAAATTAATTGTTAATAATTTTTAGAGTTTGTGGAATATTTTACCTTAGCGAGCCATATGTTCCCAGCGAGAGAAAACTGTAGTCCGGATCGTAGAAGAAGTACACGGAGCTAACCGACCCCGGCAAGATATCAATAACGCCCACGGCAATAAGTTTTTCATCGAGCCAATACTGCTGATGGAACGAGCCATAGCCCATCTCGGGTCCATCGTCTGGCTTTTCGTTCTACAATGGAGTAAATTATAGTAAACTAAAGTTTAATATATTGATAAAACTAAGGGTTATGTAAAATCATTTATTGTGTAGCAACCTTCATGGGTGACACCTGCAGATGGTCCTGGTAGGCATTGCGATCCCTGGGCGGATCATTGTGTATCGATATTTGATACTTCCTATAGAGCGCGTAGCTATGGGGTAGAGTCCGCTTGAATTCCTCACCGTATACGTGTACCAAACTCAACTGCGGATAGATTTTTCATATATATGTAATTACCTTAAGGGGTGACTTGATCAAAAACCGCTGCATATTAGCTAGGGTGAGGCGTGCGGGATTATCATTGTGAATGGCTACTTGATATTTTCGATACAACGCAAGTACTGCATCGGCACAAGAACGGTGTGTGTCTGAGGATGCGACCAAAACGATCTGCAAGAACACAAACAGCACAAAGACAGTGTGTCTACATATAGGGAGACTAATACTCAGGATCGGACACGAAATGAACAAACAATACATGGCACAAAACAGATCAAATTCACGCTAACCAGCTAAGTTCTGCAAACGGTCAAACAAATAGTATTACTCACCTTTAGATGATGTTTGTTGGTTTCGCTGGTCTCCGATAAAAAGTCACTCAAACTCTTCTCCTGCGTGACAGCTTTCTGCGAGGGCTGCTCCTTAGTATCGCCCAATTTGGCCTGCCGGCGTTCCAATCGCATTTGCTTGGCTTTCTTGCGCGGCTTATTGGAGATCGCCGCTGCAGCTGTTAAAGACAAAGTTAATAATCTTCATTTATTCATTGAAATAATACCCACATTTGTTGGATCCCAGCGATGGTGAATGGTTTAAAGTCAACTGTGCAGCCCCGGCCGGCTTTGCTTTTGACTTTTGAGCCTGTGCGAGTGACATAGCCTGTTCCACATTGATTACAGCTGGACTCTTATCTGGCATCTGAGGCTGCGGCTCACTGGCAGAGGCATTCGCACCCTCAGTTACGTCATCATCGTTTCCTGAGCGTACCGCCTGCTCGACAGGGTCACGTTTACCATCACGCAAAAATCGATTCATACGTCGAAGTATTCGCTTGTTGGACTTCGTCAGCTTGAATTCCAATGCGTCGCATTTGATGGTGTAACAGGGGCAACAGGTATCCTTGTTCTTTAACTTATAGCAGTAGTTGCCGCATCTGCGCCAGCCACGATCAATGAGATCTTGGTAGTCTTGGCAGTCCAAGCGATATGCGTGCATACCTTTAAAGGCAACGACAAAATGAGTAACTGCACCTGGTCCGGTCTTGTGTTCTTACCATTGGATTTGCTGCAGTTTGTACCTGTGCAGTAGCCGCATTTTCCGCTCTGGCTTCCAAAGTATTGCACAATGCTGACACTCATGACTCGTTTTTCTCAATTCAGATCCAAAATGCAAGCCAGCATTCCGCACTTACAAATAAAAAAGAATTTAGCTAAACACCGCCCGCCCACTAGTGAAATTTGACACTACAATGAATGAATTTTGTTTACCTTTTCCCACTAATCGTTTCCCTTTGTACATCGGAAATGAATAACTATTGATCGATTTAGGTGTTCGGCTTAGTATTACAAGCTAGCTAAGACCTTCAGTTCTGAACATACAATTTTCCCCGATATATTAATCAATTGTGTACAAAAGTGACTAATTTTAAGTACTCCCTTTTTGGGATTGTTTATAAAATAAGCTTTAAAAAAAAGTCAACCAAATTTATTCAAATGGAAAACATCAAAAAGGCAAATACCATTTAAATATTAAAAATACCAGAGAAAGTATATTTACGGTATATTTTTTAAGGTATATGTTGGTATTCTTCTGAGGGTCAGGCGGTATATTATGGATAAATCCGCGGTCTAGTGACAAAAACAAAAACAATTAAAAACAATATAAAAAACCGATTTAAGCACACATTTTAAAAATGAATTAGCCAGGAAACTACGAGCAAATAATCCGTAAGTGTATTGGCCAGTGAAGCACTAAAGACAGACGAAGGGCAACAATTATCTTGTCCAATTTTGTGTGGGTCTATGAAGTGCGTAGTTGTTGTCTTGTCAAGTGAAAGTTTTCATTGCTCTGGCTGAGAGTAAAATGCATTTCGAATCCGTATATTTTTCTCAAATAAAGTCAGAATATATATTCCATTCCTTAATAACCACAGAGGCACATGGCTCAATCTCTGACCAACGACCTTCGTGCAAAGCAATAAAGTTCAATCATATGTAGTTCTGTCGCTTCCTGTAATTGACTGCCTTTGTCCTCTATTAAATGATAGTAATCGAATCAATATTGATTATCTGTATGATTAGTTATGGCTAATAAAGCAAATTTTTCCCTCGACAGCGCATAATGATTGACGCGGCGTCTGCCGAGCTGGCCAGCCACAAATTGAATGCACAATTCGATGACAATCTGAAACTGGCACACGAAGAGGAGAAAATAAACCATGTCAATGGAAAAGAGGCGCCGCAACCGACACCCGCCGAACTGCAGACATCGTATCGAAGTCTGTTTGTCTCTTGCCAAGAACACGCCGCATTCTTTGCCAAAGATCATACTGAATTTGGCCAACGGTTGCATGCCGCCCACATTGCCTGGCAGGACTTTATAGTACTTGCCAACCGACTAGTCCTGCAAATCGAGGCCTTTGCCCATGAGTACGACTTTGATGAGCACACACCGGGTAATGGATATCGCAGCTTCGTTTACGTGACCAACGCATGCATTTCACATGGCATCAGCATATGCAAACAGCTGCTGGCCACACGCAGCACTATGTTTTTCCGGAAAAAGGTCTACATGAAGGAGGTGGAGGCCTGCTCGCAGCTGCTTTCCTCGATATGCACTTGCCTGCAGTATCTCCTCATACTGCGTCAATGGTCGGCCAATACTGGAGATCTGTTTGCCTGCGGCACGCACACTGCAGAGCAGCTCTTCGAGTTGGGCGACACCATCAATCAGTATTGTTTCTATGGACGTTGCTTGGGATTCCAGTACGGCGACTCCATTCGTGGTATTCTACGCTTCCTGGGCATCAGCATGGCCAGCTACTCCGAGTCTTATTACTCACAGGCGGATGATGGGACTATTGTAAAAACCACGCGCAGCCTCTGGACCAGTGGCAAGTACCTAATGAACCCAGAGCTACGAGCCAGGCGCATTGTCAACATCTCGCAAAATGCAAAAATTGACTTTTGCAAGTCATTCTGGTTTCTGGCCGAGTCGGAGCTGATGCACAAATTGCCCAGCATCGTGGGCAGCTCCATTAAGGTGAATCGACTAATCGAGTTGCCAGCGGAGCCTTTTCAGTTACCGCAACGAAAGAACTTTAAGGCGAGTGAGAAAGTCGGCAGCGATGTAAACCAGAATCAAGGCAACGATGATGATGCCATACAATTTGTGGACATAGCCGTACCCAGTGCTCATCTGGGACCCGGTCTGCCTATTTCTGTGCGTCTGCTCAGTGCCAAGCGCCGATCTGGAATGCTAGGCGAAGGACGCTATCGCGGTTGGCACAAGCCCACTCCCCCCAGTCGTTCCATATTGTTTCACTGCCATGGTGGTGGCTTCGTGGCGCAATCATCAAAATCTCACGAACTCTATCTTCGAGATTGGGCTGTAGCTCTGGACTGCCCCATACTTTCGGTGGACTACAGCCTGGCACCGGAGGCTCCCTTTCCGCGGGCCCTTCAAGAAGTCTTCTATGCGTACTGTTGGCTATTGAAGAACGCCGGGCACCTGGGAACGACTGCTGAACGAATAGTGTGTGCAGGTGACTCTGCTGGTGCGAATCTGTCCATCGGAGTGGCTCTGAAATGCATTGAGCAGGGTGTGCGTATCCCGGATGGACTGTTTCTGGCCTACTGCCCGACCCTCGTCAGTTTTGTGCCGAGTCCAGCCCGTTTGCTGTGCCTCATGGATCCCTTGCTGCCGTTTGGCTTCATGATGCGGTGCCTGCGTGCCTATGCAGCGCCCGCCAAGGAAACTTTGCAGCAGAATGCCAAGCATGTGGAGGAGGTTGCCCAAATACGCAATGCGCCAAAGTCGTCACTGGGAAGTGCAACTTCCAGTCGGCGCACCTCATTGGCCAGAAGTACTCTAACATCTCTGGAAGCGAATGCCGATCAAGATGACGAGAGCAGTGATACTTTTGCCAGTGCCTCGGCTTCGTACCACAGCCAGACCGTGGAGCGAACCGAGTTGCCCAACAGCGAGGGCGACAACAGCTCGTGCGTGTCTTTCGAGGACGATTCGCAGCCCATTGTTCATTATCCTGTTGAGATTTCAGCGGACACTCCCAAGGATCTCGAATCCGCTGCCTATATTGATCAGTTTTTGGATAAATATCTTATTGACACGGCCACCATGGAAGTGACCGAGGAGACTACACTCCCAGTACCACAAGTAACATCCAATGGCCTTGTCAAGAACATTTCTGATGAGAACATTCTGGTAGAGACGGGACGTGACTTCATTGCAATGGACACACTGCAGGGCCGGTGGCAAGAAGCCGTCAACAATATAACCAACACCCTATCGCGCTGCACAAAGTCTTACGAAATTCATGGCAGCAGTGCTATCAGCCCGCAGGATGTGCGCAATATGGATGCATTGATAGCTCGCAGTCCCAGCGAGGAGTTTGCCTTCGACGTGCCTAAGGATCCGTTTTTATCGCCTTATTGGGCTAGCGACGACTGGCTGTCCCAACTGCCAGAGACAAAGATTCTCGTAAGTTTCTCATCACTCAGCAATATATAATTGATCCACATTTTATGATTCTTTACGCAGACTCTGAACATGGATCCCTGCCTTGATGACTGCGTCATGTTTGCCAAGAAGCTCAAGCGCCTGGGACGTCAAGTAAACTTGGAAATACTGGAGGGTCTGCCACATGGATTTCTTAATTTTACTATGGTATTTACCCCGCAAACAACTGCAACCTACCAAATCCACTAACCAACGATGATCTCTTTTTAGTTGTCAAATGAGGCTATGGATGGATCCAAGCACTGCATTAAATCATTGCAGGCACTACTCGAGATCACATAAAACCACAGCAAATTATGACAAGACAAGAACAGCAGACAATGAGAAATCCACCAGTCCAGCCCCAGTGCAATTTCTACAGATTCACAATAGCGGTTGAATATAATTCCACTTGATCCAGTGACTTGGAAATATAAGCACGTAATGGTTTATTCGGTCGACAATAGTGTTTAATGACCTCCCCGAGTGATTCCTTCCAACCAATTAGTTTGGAGGAAAGCACAAAATGTTCTTTGCTATACGCACTTTACTTGCTTTATATTAGTTTTGCAATCTCAAGCGTTTTTGATACACTTTTATACGGTTTGACACAGATTTTTTTATGCTTTATACACATATACACATACAAATTATAGATATGGTAGGTTAAGGTTTTTAGTATAAGCAAGCCAATTATTCAAGTATTGGAAGCATGTAAACATGCGATATTTATTACATATATATACGTATATATATTTATGTATGTACAATGATCTATGTTCCAGGCACACACTCGCTAACAGTCATTTAATGTACAACGTGCCGAATATGTGCCTGATACGATATACATGTACTATATAAGCAAAGCATTCAAATATCCGTATATTCACATCCCCAATTAAGAGTTTGTGCATACATATGTATATTTTACACAATGGAGGCTAGCAAGTTATACATACATATATATTTCAAATATGCTGGAGATATGCTTAGTTTTCTTTGCCTATCCCACGGGAAACCTTACGACTCTATCTCTGAATTTCATCAGGTGTTTGCTATATAAGTTCATATACGTTTGTAATCTCTCTCTCTAAACTATACCCCAGTGCAGTGTTATACATCTATGCGAATAAACGGTTATTGCCATTCAATATATCCACCTTCAGGCTGAAATAGAGAACCACAGGCAGCAGGGAAAACACTTTGGTCAACATTATTACAAGTATGTTTTTATTGAGGAAAAGATGCGGTTTTGTTGATTCTTAAACGTTAGGTTGTACGTGGGAGGATGATTCAATAAGTGATATAAATATGAGAGGAGACAGTCTCGTGCCGCCTTATGTCTCGTTGTCTTCGATCTTGGGCGCCAGGTAGTAGCGTATGTGGCCCAGATCTTTGATTGCATACTCTACTACCAGCGGCACATCTGCACACATCGACAGCTGCACTTGGGTGGACAATGGAGTGGCTTTTGTGAAGGCGTTCAGGTAGCGACAAGCGAACGTAAGCGTCACTGGCTCCTGCATTTCAATGGTGACAGACTCCTCCTCCTTGTCCACATTGCCAGTTTGGGCCAGCTTAATGTTAGCAGTACCCACATCACCGCTGGCCGAGAATTTGACGCCCTCTTTGGTGCAGCAAATAACTACAGACTCGCTGAACTGGGACAAGTCACGGCAAATGCGAGCAAACTCCATGGCCGGCATACGGACCACACAAGAAAAGTCCGTTTCCGGTATACCCAAATGCTCCTGATCGAGATTCATTAGTTTCATCTCATAGTCGGAGACCTTCTCCTGATTAGCTGACTCGAACATGATGGTAACTGTGTCCGCATTGTCCTGCGCTTTCATTGTCACGTTGTCCTCGTTGTTGGCACACTTCAGAATTTTGGCCATGCTCCCCAGATTCATGCCCATAGAAAGATTGCGATCACAACGGAACTTGTCGAATCCATCGGATCGCAGCGTCAGCGACACCAAAGACACATGAGAGTTGTCCATGGCTTGCAGCTGTGGCGTGGGGTGGGGTTGAAAAATTAGTTCACTTGCTCGCAAACTGTGTCAATGTGTAAATGTACCTGAATTCCCGAATCACTGCAGTCGAAGGTGGCCTCGTTAAGCAAATCCTTGATGGCGTCGAGAATCTTCTTCAGAATGGTAGCTTGACCCAGGCGTGCCTCGAACATGATTTTGTCTTTAGTTTTATTATACGGAATGCAATTTATGCGAATCTATATAGTGTGTTATGTGGGCTTTGCAGGGCTCCGGGTGCTGATGGAATTGCTGTGCAATTTTACAAGGAAATCTGTATAATGTTTCTGCCACTGGCACTTTAAAACGAGTGACGAACGTGTTGGCAAAAAATTACATTGATCAGGCGGGCAAAAATGAGCGGGATAGGGATGTACAAAGCCGGAGATGACATCGATGAAGTCTTACCGATATATATGATCTGATCGCGCTGCCAACCTAGGTGTATTTCAGTAGCCCTGGTACTAAATTAAATTGACAATTTTATTGTTGTTATAGTTTTACATTCTTAAAAGACATTAGCGGAAGCGATGATGTATAAAGGTAGCCTGAGCCGAGTGCAGCTGGTGCTCCAACTTCTTAGCTTTCTCCATCATTTGGTGCAGGTCGTTTACGCCAAGACCTTACCAAAAGAAAATATTTAGTAGGCGAATATACATTTACATACCAATGTGTACGCTATGAACTCACCGTGCACCGTCTGATCATGCGCACCGCTGGGATCCTTTTTCATAAAGTATTCTTCAATATCGACATGGTTTTGCATTGCGGCTACACAAGAGGCCGGAATAAGCGAAGAGAGGTTAAAATCCTTGTAGGAACGGCGATGCAACAGCTCACGGACTAAAGGGTAATTTCCAGAGTAGGTGGCCAAGGTTAATGCGTTTTGTCCAAAATAATTAACCGCGTAAATATTAGCTCCAAACTCTAAAAGTGTGCTTGCGCATTCGAAGCGCCCCATATAGCAAGCCTTCAGCAAGGCCGTGTTTCCGTACATGTCCAGTTCCTCCACATTATACTCTCGGTTGCGCGCCATAGTACAAATGATGCGCAAAGACACCAGATCGTTCTGTCCAACGCAGCTGAGAGCTTAAAATATTTAATAATGGATTATTGCATTTATTATCACTTTAATTTACCATTCATTCCAGGCATTTTTATATGATCAATCTTATAACGGCACTTAATAGAAAACCAGGGCTAAGTTATTCGTGTCCAAATACAACTCTGTGCTGTAATACTGTGCAACACTGCTTGTCAAAACACCAAGCAACGTCAAGACGTCATCCGGTTTCTTTCCGATTCGAGAATTTGTCTCATACAAACGGCAAAAATGGTGCGTCGTCGAAAAAATATGCAAAATCTCGGTGCATCAAACAACAAAAACATTAAGCTGAAGTGAAATTGTTCAGTGCATAGCATGAAGTATGCAATGACAAGTTTATGCTGCATTAACACAGCCTAACAATGGCAATATTTTTGTTGCGAAAATGCCATTGCCAATTTCTGTTTCCATTGTTTGTGTTTTTCGTGTAATGCAATTTTCGCGTTTGTTTTTTGCAGTCGCTCGTCATCCCAGAGAAGTTCCAGCACATCCTTCGTATTATGAATACGAACATTGATGGCAAGCGCAAAGTTGGTATTGCCATGACCGCCATCAAGGGTGTGGGTCGTCGTTACTCCAACATTGTGCTGAAGAAGGCCGATGTTGATCTCACCAAGCGTGCCGGTGAATGCACTGAGGAGGAGGTAAGCAAACTCGGTAGACTGCACGAGCCGCAACTAATTGAATTTTCTTTAATTCGCTTGTAGGTCGACAAGGTTGTCACCATCATCACCAACCCTCTGCAGTACAAAGTGCCCAACTGGTTCCTCAACAGGCAGAAGGACATCATCGATGGCAAGTACTGGCAGCTGACTTCCTCCAACTTGGACTCCAAGCTGCGTGATGATTTGGAGCGCTTGAAGAAGATCCGCTCTCACCGCGGTCTGCGTCACTACTGGGGCCTGCGTGTCCGTGGCCAGCACACCAAGACAACCGGTCGTCGTGGTCGCACTGTGGGTGTGTCCAAGAAGAAGTAAGCTGCCAACTTTCCCCACAGTGAGATCGCTGATACTACTTTAACTTTTACAAAAACCACAAAAATAAATGGAAAAAACGGAAACTGGAACGTTTTAGTGCGGAATTAATGTTTAGTGTTTGTATTCGTATTTGGTACTTATTGTAGTTACAGTGTGCGCTTGCAAACAAAAATAATCGAAAATGTCTGTAACTCCTGCGCCAAGTAACAAATCCCAGTGGAGCATAACTCCTGTGGCTCGAAATACGCAAGAACTGGCCAATTATTTACTAAGAACGCTGTTTAATCCAATCCAGCAATTCCAAGAGCCACCAGAAACAATGTTCAGCACCTCTGGTTAAAGTGGAGCCAACATCAACTGCTTAAACTATCTTACAGCGCGAGGGTCTATTCAAATGGACAAGTTTAAGCGAGAAGTACTATGGATAAGCGCGATAAACAAAAGTGCCTAGATTTTCCTGGTCTCGGGTTGTGATTTCTCTACTAAAATGTGCGAATTGAGCCGTCATAAACTACATTATACTTCTTACCCTATGCCATATCTTCCATATCTACAGCACATAAATAAAATCCATACATTTTACAGTACGATGTTAAATTAAGATACATTTGAAATTGACCGCCAAACTCCATTTATCGTTGAAAAATATCGATATTATTCGCTCTCAATTCGTGGTGGTTTTTCAAAATTTGCTCTCTTTTTTTGGGGTGAAGCGAGCGTTTTCGTGGTGTGAGAAACATGTATCTTACGGGAACGCGTATGGAATGAAGATTCATTGTTGCGTCATTCCTACGCACCCGTGAATCTACATTTGATTTGTATGGGAAAAAATTCAGCAACATGGGGAAAGGAATTAGCAGCATTGTTGTGCAACTTTGGCACGGGGTGAGCAACAATCTGCATACCTTGGGAAAATGGATATTATGGACTTGAGATATTGTTTGTAATTTCAGGTTCCAATTAATGCAGAAACTACTCAGTCTCTGTTTTGAAAGATATTAACGAAATTTTGCAGCTCACGGGTTCCAATAATAGGTATCAGAACCGGGATAAATGTATATATAAAACACAAACATATGCATTCATAGGTAAAAAACATGTCAATCTAGGATAAAATCTTAAATAATGTTTCAATGAAGCTTGGAAAAAAACATTGAACATCAATTAAAAGAAATAAGGTATAGAAAATTACATACGCATAGAAGAAACTTGGTTGACCAGCAACACTGACGTCACATTTAGTCAACATTTATGTTTTATGATTTGGCCGTTTTTGTTTGAACCCTATTATCTAAACAATCCCATTAAAAATATTTCTGAAAACTAGCCAATCCTGAACAAAATTCATTGAGAAATTGTATAAAATTATTTTTGGGGGGGCTTAGGTATGGGAGGGCCAACTAATAATTAAACTGAATATCAAAATTGACGAATTTCATATCACAAAATATCATGGTATGGCAGCCCGCAGCAACAACGAACTGAACGAGTCTGGCAACGCCACAAAACGACGTCACATTCGTTTTATGTTGTTTTTGTTTGAACCTTAATATGTAAATAGTCCAATAAAAAGGACTTCTGAAAACTTGCCAATCTTCTAGAAAATTTATGTACATCCTTTTGACTCCATAAAATTATTTGTTTAGGCTCTAGGAATCCCCAGCTAGCTAGTGAATATTAAACGGAATATCAAAATCGAGGAATATCATCGTTGAATGTTTTGAAAAAACAATCGATTCAACAAACAATTTAATGCCAAAGCATGCCTTCAAAATATTCAAAGTAAAATGCCATTGACGGCTCCAGAAAAGTGCCCAGTTTTAAAAGACGAGATGAACAGCAGCGAGGATAAGGAGTGCAAGGAGGAAAACAAAAATGAACCACAGGAGTCGGCGGCGAAGGTAGTGGATGTGGTTGCCGTAGCGGTCAGTTCCAATAGGAGCAACGTTCAAGAGCCACAATTTTATGGCAAAGCGCAAAAATATTGGTCGGAGGTGCCAGCCACAGTCAACGGGATGCTGGGAGGCTTGGGTTACATCAGCGCCATCGATGTACAGGGATCCAACACCTTTCTTCGCGAAATACGGGTTCCTGGAAACAAAGCTGGCGTTGGACTGCGGTGCCGGCATTGGACGAGTGACTAGGAATCTCCTGATTCCCCGCTTCCATTGCGTGGATATTGTGGAGCAGGACCCAGCTTTTGCGAATAAAGCCCGGGAGTACTGTACAACTGAGAGCCAGCCTGTCGGCAGTTTGGGGGAAATCTACAACGTTGGACTACAGAAGTTTACTCCCACAAAGAAGTACGACCTCATCTGGAGTCAATGGGTCTTGGGGCATCTCACTGAGCTGGACTTGGTCGACTTCTTTCGACGCATGGGACAAGGACTGGCTCCGGGCGGTTTCTTTGTAATGAAGGAGAACGTTACCAAATCAAAGGAGATAATCGATGATGACGAAGATTCCTCGGTTACTCGCCCTCTTGAGCACTACGAGATCTCGCTAAAGGCGGCTGGATTTCGCATTGTGCGAAAAGTGCGCCAGCAAAACTTTCCAAAAGACCTTTATCCAGTTTATATGATTGCCTGCAAGCCACTCTCTGTGGCTTAAATTCAAAATGTAGTTACTAACGTACAAGTTAACTTGTACCCACAAAATCCAATATCACAATTTTAGCTAGTCAACAAAATGTTAAAATTATATTTGTATAGTTAATAGAGACAAATAAATGTATCAAATGACCAAGCCGGGTCACAAAGGCGCAAAGATTAGCGTATTCCTCAATTTATTTTCAATAATAATACATTGTCCTATCCGTTTCATCGGTCCGGCAACGCCGTCTGGCTCATTGCTTGTCGTAATCATTGCATCCGGGGTATAATTGGATAATTTAAACACTTAAATGGCTCTCACAAAAGTCTACGATGCCGCGACAGTTTTCAGGCACTTAAATGGCGTTTTAAATGTATACAAACCCGCCGGCATGAGAGTAGGACACGTCCGTAGCGCAGTTCTCAGCAACATTTGCAAGGGTTAGTGGAACGTTCTTAAAAATATTCCAAAGATAACATTTCCCATTCTCCTTAAGGTCTCAACGAATTGAAGCAGCGCGAGCCGCGCAAGCTTGTAGAGAACAGGCCGCTGCTGGGCACAGGCACCGCCGCCGACACTGTGCTCCACAATATAGCCACGAACACCGATCTCTCTGACGATGTGCTGTGCACTGGACCTCGTTACATGCCGGAAGATATACGCTGTGCCACTGTGGCCAGTCTGGGGCAACACACCAGCGGTGTTCTGCGTAAGTTATATACGCTCACTGGAACATAAACTACTAATCGGTATGCTATTCAACAGTTTTTGGCATCAACAAGGGACTGCGCCAGTCGAGTCGAATACAGAAGAACCGGCCGGTGCGAGTGTATCACATTACAGGTCGCATGGGCACTGCCACGGAGAATCACCTGCCAGACACACATGTAACCGCACGTTCCAACCATAAGCATGTGTCAGCGGAAAGAATCAGTGGCCTTGCGGCCTCCATGCAGGCTTCGCATCAGCGGAAGATGTACGAGCTGTGCGGCGTCGACCTGCAGACACAAGCTGCCTACGAGCTAGCCAGCAAAGGTCTCATTCGGCCAACCGACAATAGTCTGCCCGTCATCTATGGCATCAAGTTAATTCATTTCGATCGCCCGCACTTCACTCTTGAGCTGCATGCCATCAATGAGACGGAGGAGTACTTGGCCGCCCTGGTGCATGACATGGCGCTGGAGCTGCGCACAGTGGCCCACTGCAGTCAGTTACGATGCATCCGCCACGCTCACTTTGATGTCACCGACAGCTTACTAAGACATGGCTGGCATCTGCCGGGGATCGTGAAGAACCTGCGTCAGCAGCGGGAGATTCTGCGAGCACATCCCCAGATGTTGGAGGAAGAGCGCGCCGAGCTGCATGCGTGATGATTAGATGACTAGATTAACTGTATCATAAAGTATGTTTTATTTGCAAAAACTAGTCAATTTTCTGCTGCTGGTATTTGTGGGTCAGCATTAGTTTCTCCCACTCAAAGATCTCCGTCTGAAGCTTCTCGTTCAGCTTCTTACCTGCCACAGAATCGAGTTCCTTTTCCAGCACCTCCTGAGCCTCTTTGAGTCGGAGCAGGGCGTCTTCTAGCAATGTAGAAGCCTCTGCGGGATTCCTGCGCGCCTGTTCCTCCAGGGTGTGGGCAATCTCGACCAGGATAACAGTCAGATAGATGGCAAGCTTAATGCTGTAGGGATCCAGGCGACGACACACGTTGTACAGGTCATCGCACAAGCGCAACTTTCGCTCCAGTATTCCATCGCTGAGCGAGCTCAGCTCAAGACCAATTTCGTTGCCATAAAGCTGGATTAACGTATGCTTCAGATTGAACATGTGAAAGTGGTTTGGATGCAGCATCTGCGTCAGGCGAGCCAACGTTAGCTCAATCTCAGTGGCCGAAGGGCGTCCGGCCAGCATCTTATCCACCTGCTCCGTCATATGGGTCTGCAGCTCTGTCACGTATGCCGTATCCATGGCCATGGGGCAAGCGTCGCATTTCCACTGACTGTGCTCGTCGACTGGATCCACGGGGAGCTGCTTGCCCCCACAGGATTTGTTGACATCACCCAAGCAGGTCAACGCACTCACATAGCTGCCAAACTCCGTGGGATCCAAGCAGCGTTCGCAGCCACATTTGAAATGCTTGGTCAGCCGAAGATGATGCTGGCGCAGATGAGTGCCCCACAAGATGTTTGTGTAGGTGATCCTTAGGTGGTCGCCCTTTTTCAGGTCGCCGCCCGCCCTAACCGCGATCTGCATGGTAGTTCCGTCAAATTGAAAATAACAATTGGGCTGGCAGGCGTGCTCCATCATGCATGCCTGTCGGAACAGTCCACTAAGTTCGATGCCCGTGGGCAACTCGACCACCATGTAGTTGGTCTCGACGATGCCACACAGCCGATGCAGCAGTTCCGGTTCGCAGTGCTCAAGGAGACCCTTCTTGCTCTGCTTGAGGCGCTGCAGAAAGCGTTGGTTCAAGTAGCTTACAATTCCATCTTCCGCCTCCTGGTGGAGCTCCGTGCCTTTGCGTTCCTCTTCGTGCGACTGCATCTCGAGCAGATCGGCCCACTTCTTCGGATCTTTGCGCTGCAGCAGCAGACACTTCAGCACAAGGAGTGCATCCCCCCGGTAGAAATCGTTCAGCCCACGAGCATCGGCCCTGGCAGACGGACCCGGACCCAAGCTGAGGACGCTGCACTCCAGGGCCTCGTGTTCGCAGGAAACACTGCAAACTGGCCAGCGACAACTGTGGAATACGTGGAAACATAAGCTGCTGCCTACCAACGAGAACTCTCTGGCGGTGTACTCACTGGCGACACAGATGCTTGCCCAAGCGACATGGCGTGTAGCAACCCACGCACGGCACGGTGGTGGACGACTTCTCCCCCTCCGACATGTACCACTTCGGCCCGATCACCAGCGGCTCCTCAACGAAAATTATCTGATTGGCCTTGATGTCTTGTGTGGCGACCAAAAATCGACCCAGCACGTCATCCTTCTCCTCGCGGATTGGCTTGCAACAGCGCTTGTGGTCTGGCCAGTGTTGCTTCTGGTGCTCCTTGTTGCAGTAGCGAACAATTTTGCAGCGAGTGCAAGTCTGCGAGGCCGCCACTCCGCACACGGCACAGAGGCTATGCATGGATATAATATATTTTATACGGGTATGTAGACGCGGAATATGATTCCGAAAGTGTTGGAATTGTTACGTTGGTTTTGTCCGCCGCCGGCTAAGATTTGTGCTTATTTTTAGCGCGCTTCCCCCAAAACAAGAGCACAAGCGTTGCCATACTCACGGAATTATCACTCTCCTCGCTGTCTCTCTCTTCACTGAGAGCAAACAGGGTGTACCTGGTGCAATTTTGTAGACCCCCCCCTGACCCAATTAATGTTTGTACTCCTGGCACCAGGATTCTGGTTTTCTTGAACTTTATTTCGCATTTATTCGCCGCAGATTACAAAATTGAACCGTACAAAACATTCGTCAATTGGAAACAGATTAAGTTAAATTACATATAGCACGTTGGTTGCATTATGAGGGGAATTGATCAATGCAGGCATAATATAAATACAATTGATTTCGATTTGATTGTACACTAGTAGCTCTACAGTCTAGTACGGCTCTTGAGGCGCGTCCAAGTCCCGGTAGTGTGATCTGTGTGATCGATAATCAAAACCACCGGGTCTGTAAGCAACGAGAATTGAAGGAATTTAGATATTGTTGAATATTACATGTTTATTTATTTAGTCTATGGATTCGCCCTTTCGGCAACGTCATCTTTGAACGGTTTATAGTTTAGACGGTTTCTAAATACAATTGGCAAAACATTGTACACGAAATCAGATATCGGTATTCATATATATAAATCAGCTTTATAATATGTATGCGAGTGTTCTTTCTCGCTAGCATTGCTGGAGGAATTCAATGCTGGAAACGGAATCATCAGATCAGATCAGATTTCATTTGTCTTGTGTGTTTGTGTTCTGGCATTGGTCTAATCAACTAGTCAAATATATCGGAATTTGAGGGCGCATCCAAATCATGGTAACCGACAAGCCGGCGGTGGTGTTCCAAAGGCAATTCCCTGCAAAAAATTTGCGACACAAGAAGGTTGTGACAAATTTCGTTTTAGACCAACAGAAAAGAAATCAAAATATAGAAACAAAGGCTTAAAAGAGGGGCGATATCTAATCTTATCTGAGAGGTGACTAAAGACTGAACAGGCGCTGTGGAGGCTACTGCAAGCTGTCCATTCCACAGCTCTGTTCAATCACGATTCGAGTGTCATCGTCATGATATGATGCCACCAAGGACACAGGGATTGTTTGCAAATGGAGAAAGGATAAATTTTAACGGAATGCTGGAGAAGATAACCTCTCAGGGATAATAGTTGTGAAAACAAATCTCCTACGAAACTCCTTTAGGAGAGAGAAAATTGGATCGAATGAGCACCGAACCCATTCCAAGTGATAGCGCGCTTAAACTAAAAGTAAAAAGGCGAGCGAGTGGCTCAGGTACTAACCTGCGAGCGGGTGCGAAGTGACGTCCACCACGGCCACCACCCATCATGTGGCCACCAAAGCCATACGGCATTCCAGACATTGGGGTATACATCGGCGGACGGTATCTGAAGAAAGAAATGTACATGTATTCCGCCGCGAAGGATTTCAATATGATTGCATTGCACTCACCCTCCGGGCCCACGAGCAGACTCCGTTTCAGGACGCTTGACGCTGCCGGGGTGCTCTGGCAACTGCGGACGCTTCGGGTCCCGTAGATAGTTATTGAAATATTGCACCTCCTTGCGGACCTCGTCGACCTTCTCCTCGTGCTTGTTGAAGATGTGCTTGCGGATGAACTCCGGTCCCTTGAACTTCTTGCCCGACAGCGGACACAGCCACTTGTCCTTAGCCAGCTCCTGGGTGTTGGCCTGCACAAATTTCTCCACCTCGGTGTCGGCATTTTTGGCACCGAGATCCTTGATCTGATCTTCGCTAAGCAGCGCGGTCTTGGTCAAAAACTGCAGTAGCTTGCCCTCGTACGACTTGATGTACTCATTGAGCTCGTTGCTGGTCACACGTGAGGGAGCCGGGCCACGGGCGTGGATAATGCCACAGCGATTGGGCATCTCATCCTCGTACGGATACTCGCAATGGTTGTAGTAGTCCACGGAGTGGACAACCCGTAGGTACAGCACCAGACGATCCAGCACCGACAGCAACTGCTCGTCCCGTTCGATGGGCTCGCCCTCGCCGTCCTTGCGGTCGCCGGAGAGCCCCAAAAGCTCCTCCTCCTCGGCAGAAGCCTCTTCGATGAGGTAGTCGGTGATATTCTGAAGCACAGGATTCTTAGAATTGAAGCCATAACTGGGACCGCTTCCATTGGCAGCCGTTGCTTCCGAATCGCTGGCAGGCGAGGGCTTGCTAAGGAGACCATCGGACCACAGCTTAAACTTCTCATCCAGATTCATGACGATTCGAGCGCACAACTTGATATCTGATCGCACCACCTGTTTGTGGGCAGTGATGCCGTTGGCTGGACGCACTCGCCGACTCAAGTCGCGATTGACAATGGCTCCCATTTCGCAGTCGCGCAATCGCTGATTGTTCAAGCTCCAGCAAATCTCTTTGATGTTGACATCGCGTGTGAATGTAATCCAGCCGCGGCGATACCAGCGACGTTCCACCAAGGGATCTGCTATGGCCGTTCTCAAATAGCCGGTGAAGCGACTGCAAAGGGCCTCGATCTCTGCCTTGGTTATGGAGGGAGCCAGGTTGCGCAGGAAGATCGAGGATGTTCGGTGCATGGCCCGCGGAGGATTTACTTTGTCCAGGTCAATGGTTACTGGTTTCACCTCACCTTGAGGGTCCCCAGTCTCCGGCTCAGCTGCAGTGTCGGCCTTGGCCGCATCACCATTTTCCTGTTTTTTCTCCTCCTCATCTGGTTTTGGCGATTTTTCTGCCTGGCCGTCCTCCACAGCTTCACCCTCGGCAGCGGGATCAGCAGCGGACTTCTCTGCAGATGCTTCCTCTTTAGGACTAACTGATCCCTGCTTTGCCTTGGCTGCTTCTGCTTGATCCTTTTCTGCTTCCGCTTTCTGTTCGGCCCTCAGACCATCCTCAACATCATATTTCGCTTTAAGCTTCTCGTCGTCCTCCTCCTCTTCGGAGGAGCTGGAGCTAGACTCAGATTCAGATGAGGAACTCTCCTCGTCGCTGCTGCTGTTTCGCTTGCGCTTCTTGATCTTCTGCTTCTTTTGCTTCTTCTGCTTGATCTCAGGAATGGGCTCGCTCTCTTTCGGCTTTTCCTCCTCTGGTTTTTTGGCAGGCGCATCTTCAACTTCGGGGTCATCCCAGTTCTCATCGTCCGAGTTGACAGGCTTCAAAGCCGTGCGCTGTGGCGAAACAATAAGTGGCAATTCTTCCTCCTCCTTCTCTTTCTTGGGACTCTTGGGTGTATTTTCGACCACTGTGGCTGCTTCATCTGGGTCCGGCTTCCTTTCGAAGACTATTGGATCCTTGGGCTTCTCTTCGAGAACCTTGAGATCCTCGTCGGTGCCGCCTTCCAGCTTGATCACACATGTGTCCAACACCTTGATCAGAGCATCGCTATGGGAGGAATCTACCTTGACGCTGCCAATGGTGCCATTCTCTAGGAGCTCCACAAATACATCTGTGCGTCTCTGCAAGGATGTGAAGGGAGATTGGTATTTATAAAAAACGGTCACATAATAATTATCGTAGATAATAGTACCCTCAAAAATCCGCGCTGCTCCTCGCTGCGGTTCACGCTGTCCTCGGGATGGTATTTGTTCTTGAACCTATGGGAAGACAAAAGATTGTTCAAGTGAGCCGTTGGTGGGGTTAAGAAGAATCAATTCCTGACGGTAAAAAGTATAATTCTGCGCGTCAGTCGAATTTCCACATTTCGCATATCCCTTTCCGGCTGTTGGCATAGGTTTAGTTAATGATTTACTGGGTTTAGATAGCGATTGGTTTTTTTTTTGTTTGTTTGTTATTACCCAAAGTCTTACCTTTGATGGCTTTGCGCTTTCGTTATTTATAGGAATGTGATATATGGTTATTTGGGCTTTCGCTCAACAATCGAATTGAAATAAATCGCGGTTTCAAAATATAAACACACCACAGCATTGCTCGCCGGGTAATTAAGACTTTAAGTTATCTGGATATCAGACAGCAGCTCTGCAAAAGCGGCGCAGATGCTCTCAGATAGGACTAGGACTAGGTCTCACAAACCCAATAAGCTGCAGAGAAAAACTTAATAATATACAAACAGTTATGATTTGAGTGGCGCACAGGGAAACAGGCAAACAGGGGTAACAACGCAAGGGATTGCATAGGATGGTATAGATAGGGAGAGAGATCAACCAAATGATAAGGAGTGCACTGCATCGGCATCGCCGTTGGGAGCTCACTGGTCGTGGGAGTCCTGGCAGTGGGCTAGCTACTAACCATTCCTCGTCCTTGTGGGCCACAAAGAACTCGTTCAACTGCTGGCGCTTGAAATCCGTCTTGTACTCGGTGTACTTGCGCATCACCTCGGAGTCGGATATGTTCTCGTCCTGGGTGTCCAGAAACTGTTTTAGGTTCAGCATGGCAGGCTGAGTCAGCGTATCTCCCCCGATGATCGGCAGCTCTCTCACTGGCGGCGGATGACTTGCGTGGTGGTACGCCGAGTGCATGGACTGATAGTGATCGGTCCACGCCTGCATCAGATAGGGGTCATAGCCTGCAATTATGAAACGTTAACAAATATAATGTTTCAAATGGTTGGTTAATTTCTGTAGGCAAACCTACCACCATATCGCGGGCCTGGCCGCCCATCTCCGTCACCCCAGTCAGGGCGCATACGTTTCGCTGGTGGCATCTCGCGACCGGGAGAGCCGTACCGTGCCCGTGGACCCGGGCCGCGGTAATCGCTGTAATCAGGTCGATGACGCGGTGCACCGCCGCCTCCAGCACCTCCACCGCGGAAGGGATTGCTGTAATATGGAGTTGTACAGTGAAATGGTGAATCTCTGCCGGCGAATAGACCACTTACCGCTCTGCCCATTCATCCCGGCCTCCGCCAGCACCACCCATGGGGCGACGCTCGTCCCTGCGCTCCGTCCGATAGCTCTCACGCTCTCCACGGAACTTGTCGCGCCGCTTGCGGTCGTACTCATCATCCGAATCAGCCATTGGTGGTTGTCTGAAATAAGGAATGAATTCAGATCCCAGTGAAAGTGGCTCGGCCATAACCTCAATTTTCTCCCACTTTTATTCACTTTTACAAACTGATTAAAACAGTTTTTCAGCTCTCACACTTAGGTGTATATGATTGTATAATCCCTTCTTCTGGGACAGCAAACTATTCATTTCGAAGTATTTATTTACTTGGTTTATGGACAACGAAAACACAAGCCGCCATCTTGCCGCTTGGCAAAAACAAAATCGCTTACGTGTTTTGTTAAATCAACGAGTTAACTCTGTCGAGAACTATTGGCAGATGGTTGCACTAACTTAATGATTGACTTTTTGTAAGCCCACAAAGTACACTTACCTTTTTTTTATTTAATTCTAAATTTTTTTTCGCAGAGCCTGCGTCGGTGCGACCGTAGATTTCTGGACAAAATATACCGTCAGACCCTCAGAAATATACCAAAATATACCCTGTCATTATCAAAATATACCATAAATATACTAACGGTCACGACAAGTTGATATCCCTCGATTTTGATATTTTGTTTAATATTACTAATTAGTTAGGACTTAAACGACTGAACATATCATTTAATCAGATAGATGAATCAATTGATTCTGATATCTGGCTTTTTTTAATGGCGCCCATTTATTGGATTACTTATAAAATACAGTTTAAACAAAGAAGGTACTAACGATTGCATACAAGGACAATTTCAACCATTGAAAAGGATCTTGTCGGAGAAAGAACTGGGATCACTCGTTGCAAGTGCCAATCATAAATTATGGTAAAACCATAACATCACCGTACAAGTAATCATCTGATAAAACTGTTATCATTAGTTATTTATTTGTAATTTCGCGGTAATTACACGTTTCAAGCTTTGAACTTGAAGTTGAACTTTTGATTGCGCCGTAAGGATAAGGGTGTGACGTATTACATCACGAAATTTGTAATAAAAATTAAAAAATAATCAAAAAATTTGAATTTTGTTGCTCGCTGACAAAAGCTGACTGATATGAAACGAAAAATTATAATTGATAAAGGGAAAAATGTAAAAACTAAAATGCAATTAGCTAAAAGCAATGCGTAGCTTTGTTATTGTTTACAAATTGAACAATTCAAAACAAAATGACGCGTTTTAAAGAGTTGTTTCGCTTTTGTTTTGTTTTCCGTTATAGAGTAGAATGCCTGTTGCTGCTGGCACACCGAGAAGTAAATACTCTGAATGCTCCAAGTCAGAATCCAAGACCACATAGCAACAATACACTGCCGTACTTTTATATACCGATAGATCTTAAATATACTTTGAACTCGATTATACGCTTCCCCCGTGGCCATAATTCATAATTTTCGGGAGTAAATTCAAATACCCCCTTTGGTTGACAACCAATCTTTTTAGTTACTTATTTCAAATTTAAACAAAAAATAAAGAAAGACGGGCTGTTAAACTCTTTTTAAATATATAATTTTTATTTTATTACACGTTTCATATATCGTATATATGTATATAGACTTTCTGTTGGATTTATATGTATGTATGTATATATTTACATCTTAGTTTTAGAACTATGCAAAGTGTTCGGTGTAGTCTAGACCTAAATAAATTTGTTATTTATGAAATTAATTTCAAAAAATGTAATTATACATACATTATACGCATTAACCTTGATTGGGCACCCGCTACACATATGTAAGTAGCGATGCGCCATTAACTATTATATAAACATTTCAATCCGTTTCTTCCCCAACTTAACTTAGTATCTTCCGACATTGAAGTATAAAAGTTTCTTTTTCTGGTTCGTATTGTAAGTTATTAGCAATAATATTAACTGTAAGTGAACAGATTTCCAAATAAGTTGTCAGTTTCGTAGACATGAGTAAGTACTCGTAAGTATATCTAGATACATATATGTATGTATATCCGTAAGAATTATATATTTATGCACCGTATGTTCTGAGAACAACAAGCAAACTTCTCACGTTAGAGTTCCGAATGTTACGCCAAATAATTAAGTATGCGTGTACGTGTACTCTAGTAATCGTTTAATCGGTTTAAATGCTAACAATCTCTACATCTCTCTCATTATCATAATTGGTAAACGGCAACTCAAACAATGCGCTGTGGTGTCTGAGGCTCTTGAGTGAATTGAACTGAAAGAACGAACCAGCCTCCCGATAGGGGGAGTGGGCCTGACAGGGGTATCGAATGCTTGCTGGCAGTGTAGCATGGAAATCATAATGCAAGTGGATTTAAAATATACATATGGATATCCCGCCACAGCTTTGAAGAATTAAAATCTGTGGCTCATTGAATTTGTCTACGTATTTTGTGTGTGTTCTTACGGGTTTCATTTAGAATATGTTTAGTACTGTATTTTAATTAGATTATCGACTTTGCTCGGTTTGTATTTCGCGTTACACTAAAATGCCATCAAATCAGTTTTCAGTTTGTATTTTGTATATTCTAATTTTTGTATTTTCCGGAAAAAATCATTTACCTCTTCGAACCTTCGAATCGTGTGCGTTATCAATCCATTTATACGTATGGCTTCGGACTTAAGATATACTCGAAATCGTATCCTGAACTGCATTAATAACTGTATATAAGTGTATTGTAGATATTAATATTATCATTTAGCTTTAGATTACTGATTGCTACAGATTGCAAATGAAATTTGACTTATGGCGTTCATCGTCGTCTCTAATCTCTACGTTTCAAAACGTAACTAAGGGTTCTTTTCTGCATGGTTATTAGATCTCAATTTCGATTTGGCAGTGAGAAAAAAACTCAACTCAAAAAGCGTTCGTATGAGTTTCGTTTGCTCTATCGCTATACTAATGCAAAAATACCCAATATCCACAATCGAGCATCTTGTGTGGGTGTTTATGAAAGTATGCCAATGGATCTATGTATCTGTATCTGTGCAGTGATTTGCCATCTTCAGATTGCTGCAAACCAGGTACACCGGTACCTCTAACAAGGCTTCGAAATAAGGTGTGAGAGTGCTTTGGAAAAGAATTTTGAGAAGGGAAACGGAAACTATATCATCATCCTATATACATTTTGTATATGTGTACTTTTCTTCTCTGCTGCTAAGGTCTCGCTTGTAGTTACATTTATTATTATAATGCTCAAAACCTTTCGATCATGTTCCGTCTAATATTCCATTCTTCACTTCTTCGTCCACTTCTGCTTTTGTTTCGTTTGAGGTAGTTTTTCAATTCAGGATCAATATCTACAAGTCGAACACAAAAATTGCTTGTGAGTGTGATTCAATTTAGCTTAGGGTTAGCTGTGTACATGGTGTGGTCATGGGTTCTACATAGTTAGGGCTAGTTATTTGGGGGCAAAACAAGTTACAGTTTACACATAACAGAAAACAGTGCATAAAAATCAAACAAAGTCTAGTTGCTCTTCCGCTTTCTCTCGAAATTTCAAGAATCTACATAACGATTTTGTTTCACGTTTCAGTTTCTGTTTCTTTGTCCTTTATCTTCATGTGGTACTTTCATCTTTACTTTTATCTTTATTTAATCTTTATCTTTATCGTTTCTATGAATGGATTTCTCAACAAATTGTTACTTTATACCATACATTCTCGTATTTTCGTAATTCATCAGGTTGCAGTTTTTGTATTTTTGTTAGTAGCATTCTTTGTTTTCGTATTCATACAGCGATAGCTATATCATATATATCATATTCATGTATGTACAGATCTTAGGCTTAGGGATAATATTGTAATATTTCAAAGGTTTAGCGTTAGCGAGGATCTATCGTGGGTATTTAATATGCTTGTACTTATCCTATATTCAACGTACTTTAGGCAGAAATCGTCATCGTCGGGGGCTCTGCCTATGTATTGTATGTATAGATAGCAGCTCAATTTTATTCGATTTTTTTTACAATTTAAAGCTATTTAATAGCGCATCGTGTCTTGTTTTTTTTTTTAGCTGCTTGTAAATTATGATAAATCAATAAAAAATGTTCCTTTCTTTTGTCCGCCAATGTCATCACTTCACTCTCTGTTAATCGCCTGTCATTCTTAGCCAATTTTCACAGCCGTTTGCTTCGCTTGCAAATCTTGTTCAAATTCTGAATATCCAGCTTTTCATAAGTCTTTGCTCACATCCCCCGCCACATTTTCGGGCACCTTTCCCCTTTTACCCGATCAGGATAATTCACAAAATAAAAATGTTCTCAGGCAACTGTTTTTTTTGGAAAAATGAAAACACACGGATTTTTGTTTATGTTTTTTTTTTGTTTCTTTTTTGGAGATTTTCATGTTGGTTTTCTTTTGCTCGTTTTCAACACATCTTCTTCTATATATATTGTATATATTCTGCTTGGTTTCGTATCGTAAAAAGGTAAAAACTATTCCGCATTACGATAGGGTTTGCTCTTTACAGTATTCTTGTAAAACTACAAAACAAGGTATGCATATATTTAATGTATCTGTATCGGTATCGGTATCGGTAACTGTATATGTAGTGGTATATGTGTTGTAATAATAGCAATAATATAATAATAATAATTGGGCGTGCGCGAGTGCAGGCTACAAATAACTGAACTTAAAAAAATACTTAAGAGCAAGCCTGATCGGGGGATCCATCCTTTCGAATAGGATCCAACGAGTAGTACGATTAAAGTATTCACTGATTTCTGTTTTGTAATTAGAATTTACTCTTGTAAAGCAGTGTGCTCCTTTATTTTATATCATATGTATATCGTTTTCGTGGGCTCCCTTTTTCAGATCTCTCCATAAATTAAATTTACTTAAGTTTTTACATATGTTTTCGTGTGTTTGTGTGTGTGTGTGTTTATGGGTGAATTCGGGGCATGTGTGTGTGTGTAAAACATAAAATTAAATTAATATTAGTAGTAAAAATAAAAAATTGCACAATTCAAGTTGAAAGCTAAGTAAAAGTTCACTTAAAAACTTTACATTATTTTATTTTAATATTTTACAATCGCTTTTCCATTTGTTTTTTATGTTTTGTAGCTACTAAAATTAGAATAAATTTGATTTAAGTTTAAATAAGGCCAACAATTTGTGTTAAAATTTTGTAAATGTAAAAAGTATACATAAAAATGTTTGGAAATAAATTGCATTCAAATTTTGTTTAACATAATAGATTGCCAAATGAAAACTTTGCACATTTTTTGTTTAGTTTAAAATAAATTTTGATTACATTTTGTTGCTCACACAAGTTTAAAAAATGTTTCAAATGTTTAAGGTAAATTTTAAAAATAAATATTGAAGTCTTTTGGTGTGTGTACGCGAGTGTATCTATGTGTGTGTCCGAATGATTGAATATTATTAATTGCCAGCAAAAAAATGATGAGCGGTACGATCTAAAACCTTCACATGCGATGGTTGCTTTTCTTAATGTTTGAGTAAAACTCCAATCACTTGAATTTCCATTCTAAAGTGCTCGTTATCAAAAGTGTTGGTTAAAAAAATGCCTAGAAAACGACGCCAATTTCAAAAAGATTATTGTTTTTGCGGGGGAAAATGATCAGAATCTTTGAGTTGAATTTCTCGTCGTTAAAAAAGATATCTGTTTATAAGGAGGGTATGACGAAAATGGTTTTGCGTTCTGTTCTTACGTTTGTGTTGTTCTTTTTTTGTGGGTGATATTTTTTTTACAGTTTCCCTCTCGTTATGATTAAAAAATATTTATAAAATCAGTCCAAGTTTTGCGTGTTTTTTGTTTGTTTTGTTTTTAGAGTTTTGCTATCTGAATTAACTTAGGTTTTCTTTCATTTAGTTTTTATAAGTGTTATTCTGAATATAAGGTATATTTTTATACCTTTCACTAAACAGATCTACGCGCTCCAGTTGATGTTAGCTTTACAGTTAGGGTTAGGTATTATACAGTTGCGTTTTATTAAGTGTACAATTATCGTTATCGTTTAATAGTTATTATTTTATATATTTTTTAAATATAAACAATCTTTACTCTCTTCTCTCTGCCACGTCCCCACACAACCCTACTCTCTTCTACATTCTGCACTCGCCTCTTTCTCTCTCTGTTCGAAATGGAGGACGTATCGATATCGAAAAACAAAATTCGAGAATTGACTGTGAGGCGGAAGCAATCGGCCACACGATCCACATAATTACTTGATGATTTTTCAATTGTTTTTCCATTCAGTGTGTCTCTTCCTCTCTCTCACTGTCGCTGTCGTTTTTCTATTCATCTCTCTCTTCTTTTTTTGTATGTGTTTTTTTTTTTCTTTTAGCATTTGTGTAATTTTTAATAATTTGTTTGTCGGTTATATCGTACGGATAATGACTTATCGCTAATATTTGCAGACTTAAGACTAAATAACTGCATTTTACGCTTGTCCTGCCGTGATCCCTCCATCTGGCATCACGATCAGGCATCCCCCCGATGATCGTGTTGATCGGGATGTCTGTAAGAGTGTTGTTCAGCTGCCTTTCCTTCTCCTTCTCATAGTCCTAGTCCTAGTCGAGCAGGACCCCACCCACCTCATGCAGGATGGTGTGGTGGTGCTGCTGATGGTGGGGCAGGGGCTATGCCGTCGTCGAGTGCTCTGACTTGACCGCCACGCCGGCGATCAGCTGCTCCTGATGCGGGTGCAGCGGCACGCCCATCAGTGCCATGGCCGTCTGCGCATTCGCGTACATGCTGACGGGCGCAGCCCCGTTGCCCGGCGTCGCCGTAGTGGAGCTGGCGGGCACCGCCGCCGTGATGCTGGTGGAGGATGTGGCTGCCGCTGTGGTGGGGCCCATGGCTCCGCCACCACCAACGCCGCCGATGTAATCGCTGCTGGTGCTCACGGCCGACACGGATCCGGAACTGGATCCAGAGCCGGAAACGGAAACGGAAACAGAGGCAGTGGCGGGAACAGAAACGGCGACTGGGGCGGAGGGTAAGGGCAGAGGCTGAGGCAGAGACAGAGGCTGGGGCTGGGGCAGCGGCAGCGGCACCGTGTGAGTGGGCAGCGGATGGATCTGATGCTGGTGGTGGGCGGCCGCCGCAGCCGCCGCCTGTGAGGTGGAAGCGGAGTCGGCATCTAGTCCCGCGGTAATGGCACCGCCAACGGCACCGCGCATGCGTTCCGCCCGATCCATGCGTTCCGCGCGCTCCAAGCGCTCCAAGCGCTCGTTTTCCTCCTGCTGGATTTGCAGGTGCGACTGCACCTGGGGCGGGATGGCGTGGACGTCCCAGATCTCTTCGAGGAACTTGGGCAGCTTGCGGTTCTTGAGCTTCAGCGAGAAGCACATCTCGGCGTTCTGGTTGCCCAGGGTGCGCAGCTCGGTAAGAATGGAGAGGAGCTTGGCGTAGAAGACGAGGCTCATGGTGTCGCCGCAGTGGCGGTTGAGTATATAAATGCGTAGCGTGTCGATGTAGTAGCTCTGTATCGCCTCCACCAGCTGGGCCTTCTCAAGGCCCGGCCGGTCCGAGAAGATCACAATGGCAGTGAGTAGCGCGTACTCGACGTTGTCCACCTTCATCGAGAACATCTGGCGGCAGAAGTGCAGCAGGTCCTCAATGTTGTCCGCCATTCCGGCCATTTTGTACGAGTCCCGCGTGTAGGATCGATTATTCGCAAAGAATATCGAGTCCGAATTGTGATCGTAGCGCCGCGCCATGCGCAACATCATGACCTCCGATGAGCAGGCCTTAAACGAGAGAGAGAGGGAGGGATAGGGGGTTACAGATATATCGGCATCAATGGGCATCAATCGGGCATCAATGGGGCATCAATGGGGCATACTCACCTTCAGTAACGTGATCTGATCCTCCTGGGGTATCTTTGTAAACGCTGGTAGACCTTTAGCAAACTCAACAATCAACTGAACCGTGAGTATGGTTATCTCGGTGATGTGTCGAAAGCTGACATCCGTCTGGCTCTCGTTCTCATCCGGGGTGCTCTGAAATCCAAATACGAGGAACCCATTAGAAGGGGACTTCTCCCTGGACGCTCTTCGAGGCTGTACCCACCATTATACGCCTGAGATCCTCTTCGGACGGCTGCTCGTAGCCATCCTGATACCAAATTAGCTTATATATAACGGCCAACTGATTGTACGTTAGTGGAGGTATATTGCGCGCTTGACACTTGGCCAAAATATCATCAGGTAGTAGCTGCCAGAGGAGGGAAAGAGAGAGGAGAGATCGGTCAGCGAATCTGCGGCAATCAGTTGCACGGCAATGCCCCATCCTACTTACCGGAATTGTGGCATGCTGCGGCGCCTCGCATGTCATCAGATCGAGAATCTCCTTCTTCACGTAGTCGTGGGTGCCAACGACGCTGCCGCCGCCGAGACTGGAGCCGCCACCCACACTACTGGCGCCGCCATTGCCGCCGTGCTGGGAGCTGGGGGAGGTGGTCATCTTGTCCTTCTCCTTCTGGGCCTTCTTCTCGCGCCGCTTCATCGCGCACTGGTTCTCCGGCACCACGCACTCCGGCCGCATGCCCACCGCCAGGCACTTCTTCAGGCGGCACTCCTGGCACTTCCTCCTCATGTACATGTCCATCTCGCACGCCCTTCCAAACTTGCAGCAGTATACGGCGCTCTTGGTGACGCTGCGCCGGAAGAAGCCCTTGCAGCCCTCGCAGGTGAGGGCATTGTAGTGGTAGCCGGAGGCCCTGTCCCCGCAAACGAGGCACAGCTCCTCCTGCACCCGCGGCGCCGGCCCCTTCTTGCTCTTCTTGGCATCGCAGCCCTCGTTCGCCGAATATCCGTTCAGGCTGCTCGAGGGCGAGAGATCATCGCGACCTGTACGGGGGAAAGATGAAAGCAAAAGATCAGTTTTAGTTCTCTCTCTGTATCTCAGTCAGAAACTCGTCCATAAAACATTAGAAACCCAAATAAATAAATTTTCCGTTTCTGTTTTCTTGTTATTTTCGAGTTCTATGTTCTCCGAACATTTGCATTTTTTGCAAAACTCCCATTCCGATTATAATCTGTGTGCGCTTCTGTGTCCGATAACAGACGCGAAACGGGGCTTGGCGCTGTCCACCCTCCCCCTGCTGGCCCTCATCCATCTCCATCTCCAGCGCACCGACAGAACACAAATTTAAAATTCAATTAACGTTGTCGCTCAAAGTCACCGTCGAAATCAGCGAAGGAATGGATTGTGGAAGAGGAATGCTCGAAATTGGGGGTTCAAGCCACTAGCCACCAGCCACGACACACCAAGGCGAGTTCCATGATCCAGTTCTGGGAAATTATGCAGAAAAAAAACCATCCGAGAGTGCTCTAGGAGTTACGTTTTCACTGCACAAATCAAGTGATGTGTGGATGTCGGGTAATAGTCAAAGTGGATTCCATGTGGATGGAGAGTCTATTACAGAAATCGGTAGGTCTTTGGCAACATTTTTACCTATTTCATTGGGATAGAATTCGGAGATTCCAATGTGGGATTTTATGAAATATTCAGAGTTTTTTTTTGTTGTTGTTGTAATATTCAACAACCAATCGACTCCCCTTATCGATTATGTTTGGACAGAGGAGTGGCTACTCCATAACTTCAGGCTGGTAGAGGAGGAGGAGGAGTAGAGGGTGTGGGAGTTGGAGAACTATGAATGGCGTTTCATGAAGATACATTATACAAATAGTCACGTTCCACACAAAAGAGAGAGAGAGAGAGAGAGATAAAAAGAATATCAAGTGCAAGTTTCCCCCACAAAGGCACTAACGACAGATGCGCAGGGTGTGGGAGGATCGGGCATGTGGAAGGGTATGGTGGTATGGTGGCGTGGTAAAAATGGGTGTTCGTGGCACATAAGTGGATAAAAAGATACGACAAAGCGGCGTGTTGCTGCAACTGCAACTGCAATGACAATGACAGCAGAAGGAGGGGGCAGCGGCAGAGCCAATGGCAGTAGCAGTGGCAGTGGCAGATGGCAGACAAGACGCAAACGCAGGCTTAGACACTTGTCTGAGAAGGGAGCAGAAGTAGCAGGAGGAGTAGAAGTAGCAGAAGGAGGAGTGGAAGAACAAGAAGGAGAAACAGAAGAAGCCAAAGCGGCAAAGACGCCACTTGGCCAGAAGTGCGCCACAGCTTTTTCCCTGTATCCCCCTCCACTCTCCTTGTTCTGCCTATGGCAACTGTTTCTGCTTCTATTGCTGCCTCTCCTTTTCCTTCCTTCTTCACTCTCGGCCACCTCCTCGTTCCATCTAGCTGCCACACTGCAGCCGAGTGCAACGCAGTGCATTGTCGGCCTAACACACTTTTCCGCTGTCCGCTTTCCACCCCCCCCACTCACATGCCCACAAACATTCGCCTTAAATCATTGCCCGCCCATACGCCCCGTTGTCTTGTTCTACGAGTCGACTCTTGGCTGCAGCCGAATGCAGCGCCGCCTGCAGCTACTTTCCCTCCAACCGAACCACGTCGCTGCGTCACTGCGCGTCGCTGGCGTTTCAATTTCACTGCCATCGCCAGGAAGATGGTGGGGGGGGGGGGGGGAGGAAAAGCGATAGCAAAGAAAAGAAAATGAAATAAGCGACGGCGTCAGGCAAACTTTGTCTGCTCCAGCGGCTCGTGGAAATGTGGAGGAGACGCCACCATGACTGCATTTTCCCTGCACTAAAGCTCTGTGCATGTGTGTGTGTGTGGAAATACATATATGTATGTATGTATATATGTATAATATATGCATGTGGAAAAATCGCTGTGGCAGCAGGGAAATCTTGTGGCTAAAAGTAAAAACCTGCTTGCTGGCCAAACGACTCTCCTCTCCTCCCGCCACTCCCCTTGACAATGACAGGCCTTGAATGAATTGGGAAAGGCAGGGGGGGGGGGGATCCCCAACGATCCCATGGATCATGTTTGTTTGGTTTTGTAGTTTAGCTGGGTGAAGGCACTGCAATATTCACTTGATGACTGCATTTCCATGCTTTTCTTTCTACACGGACGCCTCTCCATTGAAATGCATAATGAAGGGTAAGGTTCCATAGCCGAAGCAGCCGATACCCTTGCATATTCTTTTTGTTTATTTGATGGCCATGTCGAACAGTGAGCCAATCTTGTCAGTTCCGACAGGTTATACCCCACTGAGAGGGTATACAAAACGAACACACACACACACACACACACATGTACAGTGGAGCCACATTTCAGTTTTCACTGATGAAAAGACAGTTTCACGCAATGCAGGAAGGGCGAAGGGAATAAGTAGAAGTAGAAGAGTGCTGAGCAGGGGAGTGGAGAGTGGGAGAGCACAACAGAACGAAGCGAAACGGAACGGAACGCCATGAAGTAAGAAACAAAGGCAGAAGCAGAAGCAGCAGCAGAGCAGAAGCAGCAGCAGCAGCAGAACCAGAAACAGAAAGAGCAGAATGGATGGATGGATGGGAAACAAAAAAAGTGGAAGCCAAAACGGCAACACAACACAAAAGATACCACCCCCGGGAGGCCACGTCCCACCCATCTCGTTAGCCTCTCGTGCCGCTCGCCACTCGCCTGCCCCCCTCTGGCGCTTCCACATTTGGAGTTCATTGTGTTATTGTGCTTGCTCTCTGCCGCCGCACTACATACCCACATAATCCATGTAAACTGAGGCAGTGGCAGTGGCAGCGGCAGCGGCAGCGGCAGAAACCATAGCTATGGCCAAACACAAAAGCCAACTCTCTGGGCAGAGAGCAGAGGCAGTGGCAGTGGCGGTGGCGGCTGCAGCGAGTGCCAAGACAGTGCTGTGATCTTGGCTTTATTCCCGCTAAATAATTGTGCATGGATCGTAATCTCTTAATGGAACTACAATTAAATAACAATTGAGAGCTCGTTTATGGCGAATTAATATTCAAATATTCAGGCATTGCATTTAGGTTTCGAATTCCCGCTAAATACTGTGAATGTAGCTCTAGCCGAAGAAGTGCAGCTGACAGCACTGGGCTGTCTGCCAGCGCAGCAGCCCGCCAGAGAAGAGGCCCAGCAGAGCGCTCTCTTGCATTTGCTTAAGCTCTCTCTCTCTCTCTCTCTCTCTGACCATGCACGCTCTTTCAGTCTGTCTCCCTCTCCTTGCACTCTGCTCGCGCGCCCTTGCTCAACAAAAGCTAAAAAATGTTGATGTAGGCCTCGAAAAATATGCAGTTTGCCTTTGGCATTGCCACTGTCACTGCAAGCAGCGCTGCTGCTGCTGCTGCTGCTGCTTCTGCCTTTCTTTCTCTCTCTCTCTGTTCATCTCCTGCCTCTCCCTCTCGTGCAATGCAGTTCCACGTGCTGGTGTGTGCCCGAGTGAGAGAGGTGGGGTGGGGGATAATGCATGTCGCACACTCTTTTCCAGCGTGGTATAGGTAAGTTCTCCCTTCTGCTGCTGCTTTGCTGCCTCTGTCTCTGTTTGCGTGCATTTCATTTTATACTATACGCTTTTTTCTGCATTTTTTTTCGCACACTTTTTTGTTTATTTTGGTTTTTGTGCCTGGCAAAGAAATGAAGCTTTTTTTTTTTTTGCTTGTTGCTGTTTTTGTACTTCGCTATTCTATGGCAACGTTCCTGTGTTTGTGTGCTCCTGCAGCAGTGCAATATTTTTAAGCGGCTTGTTTTTTGTGTATGCATAAAAAAGAGAAGAAAGAAGAACGGAGCACGGAGCACGGAGCGCGGAGCGGAAGAGAGTGTAAGAGTGCCAGAGATGGGGCGCTGTGCAAATAGCGCCTTCTGTTGCACTGAAAAGCAAAACAAATCAAACACACACCCACTCCACCCATCAGCGTGCATTTTCCACACCACCTCTGATGGGGTATATATTAGTTGAGTCGAGGAGTCGAGGGTGTGGAGCAGCAGGCGGCAAGCAAAGTTTGCTTGTACGATTTGCAGTTGGCTTTCATATGAAATGGACGATATGAAAGACAAATATATATTTCACCTATTCATAACAGCAGAGAGAGAGAGAGAGAGAGAGAGAGAGGCAGGCAGGCGGGGATAAGAGCTATTTCCGATTTTAAGCCTTAAAGCTTTCCTCAAATATTCCAAGTGATGAGTTTTTGGTGGAAACCATAGATCAAGGTGAACGCTGGTTTTCATTAGATTCCACAAATAAGGTTATTCCTCCATTAATAATACCCATATTTACAGGCACACTCTTTAAATGGTATGCGCTAGCCTCTAGCCTGGGGTGGTGGGTGGTTCGGGTATGCTGCAGGGGAGACTGCCTTGATTTTATGGCTTTTGCTTGGCGCCACATTCATTGTGGGCATCATATATCTTGCTGCAAATCATCCAGAATGGTTATTTATGTCATTTGGGGTTTAGAGTTGCAGGGCAGAAGGGCTGCATGTGGCATGGTAAGCTGCTGGCCCAAGTTGAGGATGCAATTTCCCTCCTTTTGGTTTGGTTTTGAGAACTAGAGAAGGATATTGGATATTTAATGTTGATTTAAAATGTTCCTTCTTGTAGCTGTAGCTTCTAAGACAATCCTCCATGAATTCCTCTAGTTTATCTTTCATCTGTGCCATTGCTGCAACAAATGGAACTCGCTCCAAGCCAAAATCATCACAACAACTGCCACTATGGGGGCCCCATTTGTGATTGTGCATGCATTCGTCATAACTCTACCCGCGGAATCGAGTCAGAAATCATTGACACATTTCCTGCATATCCTTTGTTTATTTGTTGACCCAGGGCCTACGACAGCAGTGCAGGCCGATTACATAAGCGAAAGCCGACGACCCTAAATCAAAACACATTGAGAAGGCCCAACTAACCACCAAATACCAGGGGGCTTACCACACGGCCAGGGGAGTGCTGGAGCTGGCAAAGGGAGGTGCCTGGGGGT